CATCTGTGAGAGAATAGAAGACAAAAGTTTAGAATTGTGATATCAAAATCTCGCACGACAAGGAAATCAAATGAAGTGGAATTTTTTCCAACAGTTACATAGCCTCTCATAGATAAGTACAGACGTCTCCGTACCGATCAGCGAGACTCTAATAAACCGGATTATGATTCATGACTCCTATGAACCTAGAGCTCTGATACCAACTTTTCACAGCCCCGATTCGCGCTCCGTGAACCATCATAACGGCACCTAGTCTCTACGACTAGGTAAGCCTAACAATGCAGAAAATAAACAAAAATTGTGTAAGAAATAAAAAATAAAAAATAAAAACCGAAGTAGTAAAATAAAAAAGTGTTTAAGATGCCGCTCGACATATACAATAACAACTCTCGAAACTATCAACATTTCCCAAAACCCGGAATCTCATAAAACCACTAGCTTTTGGATGTCTACAAGTATCTAACTCCAGAATGTCTAACAAAAGAAAAACACATAAGGGCTAATGTTTAAAGAGAGAATAGAAAGGGACTCCTCGGTCTGCGGACGCGGTAGATATACCTCGAAATCTCTGAAACAGTCGCATCGCCTCAAGGGTGATAGGACTGAGTCGAAGTACCTAGATCTACACATGAAAAACGTGCGCAGAAAGAGCATGAGTACACCACAACGGTACTCAGTATGTTCCAAGCCTAACCTCATTCGGGTAGTGACGAGGAAGGTCAGGGCCCTACTGAGGTTAAATAAAATATAAGGTTCAACAGTGTAGAACAAAATAGTATAAGTAACACAGGATAGAAAGAACAGCAAAAACTATTATAGAGGCAAAATAAACACAGAAATGAAATACAGTTCAACACAAAGATAACAACCGGGGATCTCCCAGGATACCGTCCTGTAGTCCCAAATATAAATATCCAGTGGATCTTCCGAGATATCGTCCCGTAGTCCAACTCAAAATGCGAGGGGATCTCCCGGAATATCGATCCGTAGTCCCAAATGTAAATACTCAGTACAGGGAGAATCTACTGGGTGCAGTCTCGTAGTTCCAATATAAATGTGCAGGAGAATCTCCCGGAATACCGTTCCATAGTCCCAAAGTAAACATACAGGGGGATCTCCAAGGATACCATCCCGTTGTCCCAAAGTAAACACACAGCAACAACAAGAAGAGTACACAGTTCAATTCAAGTTCCATACCAAGGTAAAATAGGTATTTCTAACCTAGCATGTTGCACGTAATCCAAACAAGGCAGTTTGAGCAAGTAAGGCAATTAAGTCAATTAGACATGCTTCCCTAAGCTAAAAACAGGCTTAAATTGCAAGTAGTATAAATAGGAAAAGAAACATAGTTGTAATTACTTAATGAAAACCGGATTTTTCAACAATTAACACAAGTACGCACTCGTCACCTCACGTACAAGGCATTTCAATTAACAATAATACCAAATCCTAAGGGGAGGTCCCCCACACAAGGTTAGGCAAGCCACTTACCCCGAAACCACGCTCTTGCCACGAGTACTTGACTCCAAATGGCCTGAATCTATTCAATTCAATTGCATAATATAAATAATGCTTCAAGTAACTAATTCTATAAATAAATTCTAAGCTAATACGAGAAATTAGGTAAAATGACCAAAATGCCCCCGGGCCCACGTCTCGGAATCGGATAAAATTTATATTTCAGAATCTTCATACTCTCACGAGTTCATGCATACCAAAATTATCCAAATATAAGGTCAAATTCCCAATCAAAATTCGAATTCTAGGTCTAAGAACTTTCTTCCAATTTTTCCCAAATTTTCACCTCCAATCCAAAATTAAATGACAAAACTAACAATAGATTAATGGAATACAACTAGAAAGAGTTAAGGAATTGTTACTCAATGATTTCCTTTTCAAGTTCCTCCCAAAATCTCCCTCTCCCGAACTCCAATTTGATTTTTTCAAGTTTTGAACTAAACCCTCGATTCTGTCCCTTTTCTGACCAGTGAAACCGCATTTGCGGTCCCACATCTGCGACATTTCATTAAAAGGGGGCTTCCGCACCTGCGACTGCTTTATCGCAGATGCGGTGCCGCTTCTGCGATGCCCTGACCGCATCTGCTGTCAATTGCCCTTTGGCCTCAAACCGCTTCTGCAGTCTCGCACCTGTGGTCCCCAAGCCGCAGGTGCAGTTATGACATCAGCCTTGAAGCTTCACCTGCAACTCACAACTCCAAACCTTTCTGTCAAACATCCAAAATCATCCTGAGGTTTCCGGGACCTCAACCAAAAGTAGGAACAAGTCATATACCACTATCCAAACTTATACAAATCTCCACAACACCTCAAACAACATCGATTCAACCAATTAGCATTAGATTAAAGCGTAAGAACTTCAAAAACTCTCAAAATATGCTTTTGATCAAAAAGTCTATCAAACCTGAAATTTTGCACACACGTCACATTCAACATTACAAAGTTATTCCAACTTTCGGAATTCCATTCCGACCCTCGCATCAAAATCTCACTATCGAACCAGAAACTTCAAAAACTCAACTTTCGCCATTTCAAGCCTAAATTAGCTACGAACCTCCAAAACACAATCCGAACACGCTCCTAAACCCAAAATCACCCACCCAACGGAGCTAACAAAACCATCGAAATTCCATTCCGAGGTCGTCTTCACATTGTTCGGACTACAGTCAAATTTCCAAAACTTAAGCTCTCATTTAGGGACTAAGTGTCCCAAAACTCTCCGAAACTCCAAATAATTCCTTCCGACAACTCACAATAGCAGAAACAAACATGGGGAAAGCAGTTAATAGGGGATCAGGGCGTAAATTCTTAAAACGACCGGCCGAGTCGTTACAAATACTAGTTTTAATAAAAGAACAACTTATCAACACTTTTCTACCAAACACATCAACTGCTTATTATCAGTTTCAGCACGTCTATTCATACACGTAAATACTTATTCAAAAAATCAGTTTCAGCACTTAAAAATACTTTTCTAACACTTAAAGCTTATCAACTATTTATAATCAGCTACTTCAAACGGGCTTTATATCTCAATCTCAAACTGTTAGCTTGGCTATATGAATTTTCTATACCTATTTTGGTCTATTCAACTATTTATTGAATACAAGATTCATTATGATTTCACTTTATGGTAATTGTCAACCTATCAGAATAAATAATCGTGAAAATAGTATGGCAAATCAGTTTTCGGACTAGTAATTGAAAAATAATCGGTGTTTGTGAAGTCATTGAAAAATAGCCATTATATTGCTGAAACACGGAAAGTTCCAGCTTAATATGCTGAATTATGGAGTTCCTGCGTATAAACTTCCAGCATATTATGTTGGAACTCCAGCACACGGAAAGTTCAAGCATAATATGCTGGATCATGGAGCTCTTGCGTATAAATTTTCAGTATATTATATAGGAATTCCAGTGCATTATGACATCTAACATATTATGTTGGAATCTCATATGTAAGAAATTCAAACTCTAGCATATTATGCTGAAATTTTCCGGAGTTTTAAGGTTGTTTTTGTTTAGATTTTATCTTTACATCAAAATAGTTAAATTTAAATTACTTTTGAAACATGACTATTTTTCAATTACCAGTTGTAAATAAACTAGTTCTGATTTCCCCTTAAATAATCTTCCTCTTACTAGAGTTTGGACAGTCTGGAACTAGAGAATATTTTGCAGAAATTATAGAAGTGGAGTTTGAAAGTTCATAATTATTTGTCCAAAGAAAGAAGTGGGTTTGGGCAATTGGTTCAATTATTGCTAGTTACCATTCCACCACTCGTTATCAAAGAATTATGAGTTGTACTAGGACCCTTGGGCAAGTGACAATAAAGATAGACTAAGTCATAAGTCAAGAACTTTAGTTCTAAGTATAAACAGTCAAACAAGTAGAATACTAGTTAGTACTACAATATATGAAGTGTTTTGATTTCAGAGCCACTTTTGACTTTGGCATCCTTAGCTATACTAACATCCATGCACAAAAATATATATAAATCCAATCTACGTTACAAAAAACAAGTTGCAATTTTTAATAAGAAAGAGCCCCTTAGCTCTATCCTTAACCGCAGGACCAGGAAATGTGCATTGGCTTTATTGTTTTGTACATATGCACCGACTGACAGATCCAACCATTCACCATGTTACCTTAATTTCACATTGAAACTTCACTTTCTTTCCTCTCACATCTCTGACCCCTCCCCTCATTCAATTCCCTTATTCTTTTTAAGCAGCCCTCCCTCTCTCTCTCTCTCTCCACATTTCTTTCTCACCATTTTCTTTTGGAATTTTCACTTATATACACTAATAATTTGTACGAGGGCAGACTTGGAATAACATGAAAAGTTATTTTTATTATAACTTAGTCAGGGGTTCAAACTATAAGTATCATTAATCATTGGCATTTGCATTAGGTTAAGTTGTCTACATTATATTCCTTTATGATGCGATTTTTCCCTGGATCATACAAATACAAATGTTGCATGCAACAGGGTGCACTTTGTATAACTAACCAAAAAGGTAATACGATGCACAAAGCATCTCACGTTCCCGCAGGGTCCGAGGAAGGGTCGCACCCCAATGGTGTGATATCGACAATTTACCCTAATACAAGCATTAATGTCTGCTTTTACGACTCGAACTCGTAACCTATAGTTCATACAGAGACAATTTTACCGTTGCACCGAGGACTTGCTCTACATCTTTTGTAACTAACAATATAATTAATTTTTATACTGTTAATGTATTTAAATTTATTGTCACATGTAAGATACATTATTTTTTATGTTACTAATTTCGCTTTTTATAGATAATTATTTGTAATTTTCTTTTAGATAACTTGATTTTATTTTATTAGTGTATAAAAATTACTATACTCTTTTTTCTTCTCTCTATCTCACTCTCTGCACATTCTTTTCTACCAATACACGGTGTGGCATAGGATGGAATCCTTGTCACAAAAGTTGTACAACTAGACTAGCTACAGACAACACATCTGTACTCCATTATTTATTAATGTAATCATTTAAAGCTTCTTCTTCTGTGTATCATTACTCTATTGTTGGATTCTTGAAATTATTTCATTCCACAAAACTCTCTAGCCAGTTTAAACAAAACTGCTCACTCTTTTATGAGCTGAAAATATTGTTGTGATTTTGAGTTTTTTTTATAGCTTTGATTTCTCTTTTCTGCTAAAAAGAGAAAATGAGGAACAATTCCCAGTTTCCTTTCAGTCTCTTATTTCTTGGTCTGTTTTTGTTTTTATTAATTCCATCTTCTTACGCTCAGTTAGTTCCAGCTGAAAATAGAATCCTTTTCCAAATTCAACAGTTTCTTGAATATCCACCAGTTTTACAAAGTTGGAATAATTGGACAAATTTTTGTTACCTTCCTAAATCTCCTTCTCTTGTTATTACTTGTTCTGGTAATCATATAACAGAATTAACAATTGTTGGCAACAAAAAATCCCCCCCTCAGACTTTAAAATCCTCTACTCCTCAAGCTCTATCTGGTAAATTTTCCATTGATTCATTTTTCACTGTTGTCACTAAACTTTCAAGTTTAAAGAAATTGTCATTAGTTTCACTTGGATTGTGGGGTCCATTACCTGCCAAGATTAGTAGATTTCACTCACTTGAGGTACTAAATATTAGTTCAAATTTCATTGTTGGTGAAATTCCATCATCAATAGTAAAATTCAAGAATCTGAAATCTCTTGTTTTGGCTAGAAATTTGTTTAATGGATCTGTACCAGAGTTGAAAGGGTTAGTAGCAATTCAAGAATTGGATTTGAGTAACAATCATTTAGGACCTAAGTTTCCATCTATAGGAAATAATATTGTTACACTCAATTTGAGAAACAATTTTTTCAGATCAGAAATTCCTAATGGACTCAACAAGTTTACTCATTTGCAAATTCTTGATTTCTCTTCAAATAAACTTGTTGGTCCAATCCCTTCTTTTCTGTTTTCAATGCCAGAAATTCAATCCATTAATGTTGCTAAAAATCAACTAAGTGGTGCACTTCCAGCAAGTGTTTCTTGTAGCAATAAGCTTAATTTTGTCGATGTTTCGAGTAATCTTTTGATAGGAAAATTGCCTGCTTGTCTTGGATCAAGTTCAAGAAACAGGACAGTGATTAATGTTTGGAATTGTTTGTCAAGTACAAGTAGTACTAAGTATCAACATCCACATACATTTTGTGAAAAACAAGCAATAGCTGTTAAGCCTATTCCAAAAGATCAAGATGAGAAGAAACAACAATCTACAATCAAACTTGGTGTTGTCATAGGATTAATTGTTGGCATTGTGGTAATAGTGAGTGCAATTGGATTGTTGGTATTTTTCATTGTCAAGAAAGTTACAAGAAATAGAGTTCAAGGGTATAAGAATGATAGCTTTGCTTTTGAGAAGAATTCAACCCTTTCAAAAACTGCTGATGGAGGTAAATTTCTTTAATGAATCTTGAATTTTAATATTTTAGATTGTAGTTTAATCAATATTATTATTAACTTGATTTTGATCAGGGAATGCAAGGAGGACAATGAGGTTGACATCATTAGGATTGCCACCATATCATGTTTTCACTCTTGAGGAAATGGAAGATGCAACAAACAATTTTGATCCAACTAATTTGGTTGGAGAAGGTTCCCAGGGTCAGGTAAAATTGTTGATTCATTATAAAAATGAAAAGAAATAAGAGGGAGAGATATTACTATCTCCGATCCATATTATTTGTCGTTTTGGCAAATTGAATTTATTTCAAAATATTCAACATGTTAGAGAAGAAGGGAGTCTAGGCGTAACTGGTAAAGTTGTTGTCACGTGACCAGGAGGTCATAGTTTCGAGTCGTAGAAACAGCCTCTTATAGAAATGCAGGGTAAGACTCTATATAATAGACCCTAGTGGTCCAGCCCTTCCCCGGACCCCGCGCATAGCGGAAGCTTAGTGCACCGAGCTGCCCTTTATTCAGCGTTTTAGAAAACAAGAAACATTTATTATCTTTTTCCTAATTCATCCTTACTGCTCCGATTAGTTGAGCATTTATTAAGCGAGACGTTTAAGAGAGAGATAAAGTATAATGTAGACAAATCCTCTTAGAATTAAGGCTATTAAAATGTCTTTATTAAAGGGTATGCAAAAACCTCAAAAGACGGATAATATGGAAAGGAGATAGTAATATGGATGTGTTTGTCAAAAATCTTGGAGAATACAGGCTTTTCTTTTTGACATGTTTTTTGAGATATGGGAATTGGTGTTTTATTAATGACAGCTATATAGAGGTTGGCTTAGAGATGGAGCAGTGGTCCTAGTGAAATGTCTGAAATTGAAGCAGAAGCATTCACCTCAAATTCTGCAGCAGCACATGGAGATGATATCAAAGCTAAGACATAGGCATTTGGTTAGTGTACTTGGACATTGTGTTGTCACTTACCAAGATCACCCAAATACAGCTAGCACTGTATTTATTGTGCTTGAAAATGTTGTCAATGGATCACTAAAGGATCATCTTAGCGGTAAGCTATTGTTATTATTATTATTTTAATCGCATCCCTAAAACTGCAATCTGAACGATAAAGGCCTGAATTTATTTTCCCAAATTTGTTCTTTTGGCAGATTGGAGAAAAAGGGATGTATTGAAATGGCCACAGAGAATGGGAATAACAATGGGAATTGCGAAAGGAATCCAGTATTTGCACACTGGAGGAGTCACTGGAAATGATATTAAGCTTGAGAATGTTTTGTTGGATGAGACTCTTACTGCTAGAATAAGCTGCTATAATATATCTTTGCCTTCTAAGGTAATACTAGTAAATTTACAAACAACTATACAAAAATCTTGCTCAAAACGCGTTATTGACCATCCAAAATTTTTACAGGTTGGTTCTGAAAGTCCTCTTGCTGGGCCGGATCAATTAACCAGGTTTTGCTTTTTACCTCCATTTTCCCTTTACTTTCTTTGCTTTCTGCTATCATTTCCATTCTACGTACTAATATAAACTTCACATTCAGCGCGAAAGAAGCAGAAAAGAAAGACATCTATCAATTGGGAACAATTCTACTAGAGACTATTACTGGTCGGCCAATCAACTCTCAAAGTGAAACAGAAGACCTTAAGCTTCAGGTAACAATAATAAGACCTTAATAACTCTCAAAACATAGAACTATGTGAGCCTAGTTTGTTTACACAATCTATCTAACGAGTTTTTAAGTTTTATGTACTGACGGTACAAAAATTATTTGCACAATCAAGTCACTTAGAAGATAATTCCAAATAAACACTAATTGATAACTCAGTAGAAATGATAATTAACTTGCTTACATTCACCGATAGTGTAAACTATCTTTACGATGCCAGTGTATATAACTTAAATCCGTCTGACAACCTCAAAACCGAAATTGCATCTTCTATGACATGCAGGTGGAGACTTGCTTAGCGGAATCACCATCAAAGCTACGAGATTTAACAGATCCTTGTATTCGCGGTACATTTGCATATGAATCGTTGAAAACTATGGTCCAGATTGCAGTAAACTGCCTTGAAAAAGAACCGAGCAGGAGGCCATCAATTGAAGATGTTCTTTGGCATATGCAATACTCAATTCAGGTTCAAGAAGGAGCAACTAACAGTGGAAACCTCAGCGGGAACCTCAGTGGGAAAATCAGTGGAAACCTTAGCAATAAGTTTTACTGATTAGAGATCTGGCATGATATTGTTTTTACCTTGTTATAGTCATTTGTATGCCTCCTGTATAGTGCAGTTCAGTAGCTTACTGAATAAATGTTTTTTTAATCTCCATCAGAATAATACCCAAGTATACAAATCATATATTTTTAGTTGAGAATCTATGCTGGGATCTCGGAGAAACCTTGCTTGCATCCGGTGTTTACACCAACTTAATGAGTACCAAAATGTGTCTTCTCATATATTCTTATCACTAAATCATAATTAATTAATACACATTCTGTTGTGAACACCAAGTGTGTCACGGTGTACTTGTTTTATCACTAAATCATAATTAATTAATACACATTCTGTTGTGAACACCAAGTGTGTCACGGTGTACTTGTTTTATCACTAAATCATAATTAATTAATACACATTCTGTTGTGAACACCAAGTGTGTCACGGTGTACTTGTTTTATCACTAAATCATAATTAATTAATACACATTCTGTTGTGAACACCAAGTGTGTCACGGTGTACTTGGGAACATCAAGAGTAGATCAGAGGCGAAGCCAGATTTACAAGCTTATGAGTTCGGGATCCCAATCTTTTTAAGGTATTGTGTTCTAAATTACTAATTTTTACATATTTAATGAAAATTATAAGACGTATACATGATTTGAACTAAAGTTATTGGGTTCGGCCGAACCCGTAGCCAATACTGCTGCTCCGCCTCTAGAGTAGATATGTATTCGAAGTACGGTTAGCCAGAGGTCATAGCTTCCTCCCCTAGGCGCTGCTGCAATGGATGGCAGAGAGTCTGTAGTAGTACCCGAAGCACCGGAGTGATCCAGTAACCGGGAAGAGGCCTAGAAGTGCCTACTACTACACACTACACTTGGCTCTACACATTTACTTCTCTAAAACTCAGAATTGTCTGTTGACTCGGTTAAAGTAGAATAGTAAGAAAAAACAAATTGTTGTAATGACATAAAGAAAATCTTGTACATGTTAAACTGACTGAATCTTGTATTTTATTTGCATCTACTAACACACATCTTGCTTATTCATCAGCACATGCATGTGCGGAAAAACCAAAATAGTTATCAAAAAACTTTAGTGGATCGAAGATGAAGCAAGAGATGACATCTCTGAGTAATCACGCCAACAACTTCATTATCTTCATCAGCTGTGACATATATCCTGCGAACTGACATGGAAGCAAGAATGTCTTTCACATTACCAAGAGTTGAATCAAGCTTGCATGTTATCCGTGTAGCAACCTTACTAGGTTCATGGGTTGCTGAAGAAACTGTGTTCATAAAATCCTCAACAGTCAATTGCCTGCAATCAGGATGGCCAAATTCCAATGCCATTATAACGATAGATAGGAAATATGAAGGAGCTAGTACGATAAGGATTTAACTGATGAATGTTTATTAACTTGTTGTAACATGTAACCTGTCTTGTTTTCCACGTTACTTATCTCACTTTTTAGGAGACTGTTACCTGTACATGGTTATTTAGGTGACCTGATAGTATTGAAGTTTTAAACGGCCAGTGCATAAAAGTTAAACTCTTATGATTATTTCTCATCATAGTAAAATTGAGAATTGACTTAATGTGCGAGCTTATCATGGATAGTATTGTCTGATTTGCTAACATAGTTCAACTATGAGAAAGTTTCACTAAAATGGGGACTAATAATCTTGAAAATGATCCGATATATCAAGAGAAACAGAAAAGTTGACCTAAAATATACCTGAAATTGGAGAAGAGTTCAGGCGTAAGTAACAAGAATCTGATGTCTCTTATGCTTACATTGCCAACAATCTTCTTTTTTGGCCATTGAACAACTGGAAGACCTCCAATGTTGTTATCTCTCATTTTCTTAAATGCTTCGAAAATCAGTTCATCACTTCGGATGCTAATAACCTGGTGCATATGTGAAAAAATCACGAACTTTGCATCGTCGTTTTCTGTATTATCAGAAAGATTAATACTATCCTTAGCTATGAAATAGCTAACCTCATTAGGGGACATGTAAGGGAGACCAAGATCCGATATAGGAAGAGCAGAAATACTGTCAAACCAATCCCTTCTTTTGCATCCTTCAAGGCCCTGTATCACAGCGGATTGAGTTATGAAGTTCCTCAATAATGGCTTCCCCGTTTCAATCACGGGCACACTCCTTAGCCTATACTTTGATAACAGCAGCATGACAGCCAACATAGAACTATCTGTAGCTACTGGTACAAAAGTTGCCCCGGGATAGGATTTTACAATGGACTCCACCTGCAAAAATAGGTGCACGAGTCATCATTTTACAACAACTATACCTCAATCCCATGCAAGTCAGGGTCAACTATATGAGTCCTTATTGACCATATCGCTACAGTTAAGCTCATCTCAAACCAATATTACACACGAATCATCATATATTTTACAGTCTTGCCCCAACCATCTGAAAGTACAAGAAGGGGTGAAATGCTTATTTTTAAAAGTAATTATTATAAGTTGACTAGTTTTCCAATTAGTCGATTAGATGTAATAGCAAGATATTAAGAAGTGCAGAATTAAAATGCAGAAGTAAAGTGCAGGAATTAAAGACACCGAAATTTTTATACTAGTTTGGATTCAATGTGAGTCCTAGTCTAGTCCCTTTGGATTGCAAGGGAGTTCTTTTTCAGTGATTGAGTTTCTTGAGTACAAAGTGAATGGTTTAGTTTACACCAGCAGCTCAGTTTCTATGTCACTCGTCTTTTCTTGATACAATGACTCACCAGTATTTTTCTCTCTTTCTTCTCTAACTTGTTACACAACAGATTTAGAAGAGCTACAGTTTTTGTTTACAATAGAACAAAGAGAGAATAATTGATTCGATCAAAGTATATTTCTCTGAGACCTAAGGTTGCGTATAAATACTTTGTAGGAAACCGTTACCGAAGAAATGTGCCAACCCAAGAGATTTGATCCTTAGAAAGAAATTGATTCTTTCAAGAATAAGGTTAATTCCATTACTCTTCCTTGATGTGTGGACTTTGACAACTTTCCATCTTTGAGTCTTGGTAGCGCCGGATTTGCTCCTTAAATCTGGGTCCTTCCATCTTCAATGCTTCTTTTCCTTTTTAACTCTTCAAGCAATCTCTGATTTGATTTTCTTGCCGGATTCTTAGTGCTTCAATCAATCTTTGATTGATTTCTCCCTTCGGCTTTGATTGTTGCACTTTGATCTTGGTTGATTACCTTGAGTTCCTACACCAAAAACACTTCTATTATTTTTCATCATTAAAACTAAAACCTAACACCATCTTGACCCAAGTAAACTTTGGGTAGATTGGGTCATGATCGTCTATTAACGGGTGAAATTCAAAAATAGCCAGATTTACAACTGGTCTTTCAAAAATAGCACAGTTTCAAAAGTAAATGAAATTTAGCCACTTTTCATGTAAAGATAAATCTTAGCGAAAACATTGTTCAAAACCCGGAAAATACGTCAGTGTATTATTCTGGAGTTCCAACATAAGTATACTTGAACTCCAGCATATTATATTGGAGTTCCAGGATAAGTATGCTGTAACTCGAGCATAATATGACGGAGTTCCAGCATAAGTATACTTGAACTCCAGCATAATATACTGGAGTTCCAGCAAGTATACCGGTCCAGCATAATATACTGGAGACTGGAGCACCGGTGCTCCAAACTCCAGTATATTATACTGGAGCTAGCAAAGTATATTGGTCCAGCATAATATGCTAGAGTTCATACACAGGTGCACCGAACTCCAGTATATTATGCTGGACCGGTCTCTGTTGCAGCAAAATAGTGGTTATTTTTCATTGACTTGGTAAACGCTGACTATTTTTTGAATGACCAGTCCGAAAACTGGCTATACCGTGCTATTTTTACTCTATTAACATAACTCATTTTGATCCGCCCAAATTTGACCCAACCCACCCATTTGCCACACCTGTTTCAGACTAATGACTGAAGTTCATGATAATGGTACGGTTTCTTGTACTCAACTTGATTAAATATTTAATGAATTTTTGGTCTATCAAGCTGTCTGAATGAAATACTAGAAGCTTAAGGGAATTCTTTTTGCAAGAGCAGCTTACCGTTGTTGACATAACAGGTTCTTCTTGAAGTATAACTTTGTAGAAATCCTGGCCCAACTTATCCGCTGCAGTTGGAGCATCCTTTCCTATTCCTCTTTCTGCAGCAATGCCACCTGCCACGGCTGCACCAACTGCGGCAACAGTTAGGCTAGCAGCAACAACAAGACCTGTTGTGCTGCTCAATGCTAGTGCTCCAAGAGCACCAGCAGCACTTACACCAGCTCCAGCAATTGCGGCTGAATTGGCCGATAGGGCTGCTGCTTCTATTTCTGCACTCTCGAGCACCCAAAGAACAATAGCAGAGTAGTCAAGTATTCCCAAGTATCGTTCTCTCCAGTCATTACTATACTGGACAGCTGAGTTCCTCACAGGAGCTGACGGGATGTTTGATTCAGATAGAATTTTGACAGCATCACCAATCGAAGTTTCTGCATCTAGTTCTATCACTGCAATGAGGTTGCAAGAAATCTACCAGGGTGCAGAAATAATAGTAATCTATTACTACTTGGTACTCCATTTCATTTCATTTATGTAAATACTTGGCACCTTAAACATATCATGACATTTGTGTGGCTATAACATCATGTTATTAAGGATAAAAATGTGCAGTTCAAAGTTAAATTGCTTCCAAATATAAAAAGGTGCCATGTCTTTGGAACAGACTAAAGAACAGTGTCACATAGAATGGAGCAGAGGGAAGTAACTAATATGAAAGGCTGGCATATTTTTGGATCACCTTCGCCTCTAGGGACTTGAGGGAAGGATGAAACTGAAATTTTAGCAAAAGCAGCTGTTAAGGATTCCTGCAACTGAAGGGGCAGTTTCTTTCTGCTCTGGACCATCTCAAAGTAAGCATCAGAGCTTGCAAGCTGTGAATTCTTCTTTATAATTTGTGCTTGTGACGAGGTTGTGACAAGTGTGGGTTGCTCTAGCGGTGAACACCCTCCACTTCCAACCAAGAGGTTGTGAGTTTGAGTCACCCCAAGAACAAAGTGGAAAGTTCTTGGAGGGAGGGTTGCCTACGGTCTATCGGAAACAGCCTCTCTACCCCAGGGTAGGGGTAAGGTCTGCGTACACACAACCCTCCGCAGACCCCACTAGTGAGATTATACTAGGTGGTTGTGGTTGTTGTTGTTGTAATTTGTGCTTGTGCCATTTACTGCATTAAATTCAAAGAATAGAGCTTATTTTATCTACTTCTGAGTAGCACACACACAATAATTAGAGTGACAAATTTATACTAGATACTCACCAACATGTACTACTGGATTTATATGACACTAGACTGATGCAACATATGCTTAACACTTTGTGAGTCATTCATAATTGTTTCTTTGTCTGGAAAGACCATATTTTGCCTCAGCTAGCTCCATCTTCTATCACGCCTAAGCAATTTTTGTTGAATGCAACATTAAATGACAGTTATTTATACGAGTCGATTCTATATAGCTGCAAAATATCCCAAGAATTTATTCCTAGGACCAGTAAAGTCAATTTGTCTCCTTTTAGTATTTTCTATGTAGTATATGTTAGGCTCAACCAGCCCCAAAATATTCTTAGCATGTTCTGATATTATACACTTTAAACCAAGCCTCGTACAGTTTTTCCTAAATGACCTCACGTCATTAGGATATGTAATTAATTGTCTAATCTTTTCAGCTATCAATATAAGACTTTATTTGCACAGTTAAATGTTTAAGACTGATCATTATACTAGCAATGACTAGCAACACAATGGCCAAACACTAAACATGATCAATTGGTTTAAAAGAAGGAAAGAAAATGATAAAATGGACAAAAAAAAAGCCTAATCCAAAAACTTACCTCTCTATTTCCGCAACATCTTCTCTGAAAGATCTGTGTGAGAACTGTCAAGTTTATGTTGTGTGGTATGGTACTCTGTGTTGCTTCCAAGTTCCAAGAAATATTGGCAGTTAATTAGCTGGTTTCTATAGCTCTGCCACGTCTGAGGTCTTACTCAACGTGGCACTGAACTTGCAATTAGAGTTTATTGGCTACTGGGGTTCACCTCTTTTTTCAATAAAGAAAATATGTAGTTGGTTATTTGTGCTGAAAAAAAACAAGTTTATTATTTGACCAATTTATTAGTAGTGTTTAATAGGTTTCAAATAATAACTGTAATAAAACAACTTTTTTATAGGATGATTAGGCGGATCTATTGCCTAATTTATATGGCATGTGAACAAAGTATTATATATATATATATATATATATATATATATTTCTTGGAATTAATTTAATATTAACTATTGATTGCTATGCTCCAAAAATCTTTAGTGGTGCACTTGGTTAATATTGATTTATTTACTCCAAAAAAAATACGGAGTTTCCTTTCTCAAAATTGCATGGCGAAACATGTTCGAGTACCTCAAAATTCCATTACTCTTATATGGTTGATACATATTTCATATTGATGGAAAATTCTCTTCCTATTTAAATTTTTGCTAGTTCTCTTCACGAAAATTACTTTCTCGAACACAAACCATTACAAACTATTGAAGAAATTGCAGCATCGATCCAAGACTCGGGTCCTTAAATAGAAATGGTCGTGGTTGATGCAAAAATCTCTTTTGTCGGAAAATTACATTGTACAAAATTGATCAAAAGCAAATATTTTTGTGTATATAAATTTTTGATTTCCCTTAAAATAAAGGAAGATTCTAGTTAAGTGAAAAAAGTGGTTCAAAATTTTGCTTTAGGTCACGAGTCAAATCTTAGGTGCGACACTTTTGAATTTTTTTGAATCCACACAGGGGCAGACCTAGTGCATAGACTACGGGTTCCCGGGAACCCAGTAACTCTTGCATAGACTCTATATTTATATTAAGAAATTCACTAAATATTGGTAAATATGTGACTGTGAACCTAGTTATTATTGTATATTAATCTGAAATTACGGTAGGAACCCATAAGCCTCAAATCCTGGATCCGCCTCTGAATCCACATGTTAGAATTTCTGGCTCCATCATTGTCCTCCGTATTCTGAGTGTTGTTGGAAGTGAAGGCCTCAGTAAACTATGGCCTCCCAAGATATGAAGCGCCAACTTGGCTTTTGAAGGAATTAATGAAGGAAGAAGGAGGAGGAGTTGATGGTAGTGTAGAGAAATTGAGATAAGTGGAAGAATATCTTTGAGAAGAGAATGTATTAGTAGATGATGATGTTGTTGTTGTTAGGACAGTAGTGAAATCAAGAGTGATTGTTGGGTCGCCAAGCATGCTAAGTAGCAAGGGTTTTGGATGGTTACTTCCATCATGACAATCTCTACCATCACTTGGAGATTTTGGAGTGACCCTGAAAAGCCATCTCCAGTCACGACTCCGGCGTGAGTTCCGGTGGCAGTAGAGTGGAGGAGATGGTTATTGGAGCTATGGTTTGGGCTTGGGAAGAGGGAGTGTTGTTTTTCATGGGGAAGATCAACTTGGAGGAGTCCGTTGGTTTGGCTTGGATTAATGATAGAGGGAAGGGGTACTTGGTTATAAGTCATCTCTCCTTCTTTGGGTTTCGCGTGAGGCGATTTGCCTTCTGCAATCAATCTTGAGGGATTGACAAGGAGTGTCACCTCATTGATAGTATTGGGCATTTAATTTTGTAATAGGCACTTGATTGCCTCTACTGGAAGAGGCATGATCGGAGAAGAGATTGGGGCGATTTGGGTGTCGTGCTGGTGTAAGCACGTTAGTATGGAAAAGAGATACTCTCTTTATGTGTAAGAGTACCCGATTTAGAGAAACCAGAGTCAAGGAAGAGGGGTGTGGGTGCGGGTGGAGGGGTGAAATCTTCAATTCGATTTTTGTAGATTGAGTTGGGATTTTTTAGGGTGAAAATATTCTCTAAAATAGCATCTTTTGGAATTATGCTTGAAGGCAGATGTCGTTTCAGCCTAGTGATTTTGGCGTGTGAGGAGGCATTTGATTTGACTTGGCCCAAGTATGGTGTTGGGCTTTTGTCAGGATTGGCCTAAGATGGCCTCAATTCTTAGTGGTTCCCTAGAGCCTTCCCCTGAGAGCCCAACTGGCTACCTAGGTCCAGTTCTTTATGGGCCTCAGGGTTGCTCCCATTGGTGGTGGTGGCTACCAGGTCAAGGAACGTACTTGTGTCTTTACTGTACCGCTTTACCTGGGTTGGGATCTGCTTCGTTGTTGCTCCGGCTAGTCGTTGTGTGCGATTTCCCTTGTGCAATCTTTTCTTGTTCCGCGTGAAGGGAACTATCGCCATAGGGAGTCCTCATCTAGGACTGTTCCGTCACTTGGTGTGGTATTTTTTGGATCTACCAGATTATTTAGTTCCTTAAGCTTGGGGAGGAATGAGCAATTTCGTAGGGTATGGCCAATTCTCCCACATCCCTCGCCAAGGATCCCTTCCCCCTCATATAGGATGGGTTGGTTATGGGTGTCGATGGTAACATAGGTGGTGACAGGAATATCAAGGGAAACTTGGACACAAATTCTAGCATACGGACCCTTAGAGTGGATGAGGTACATGTGTCTATTTTCAGAAATTTACCAATTCTATTGCCCACTTGTTCTAGGATTGCTCTATCATAAAATTTTGTTGGTAGTTGTGGGAGTCTAATATAAATTGTTGTAATAGCTAATTTGAACTCTGCCGGAACAAAGTTGGATTCCCACCGGCGTACAGAAAGGAAATGGCCCCTCACAAACCATGGCCTCTCTGTCGGGACCTTATTCATGCTTTCTTCAAGATTAAATTTCACAATGAAATAATCCCATCTCAGATCAGTGATGGTTTGGGGTTCAGTGGGATTCCATGGTTGCGCAAGCTTTGCTGGCAGCAACTAGTGTGAGATTTTTTTTCTAAATAGTTTCACTATTAATGAGTTTTTTCACGGGAGATACAACCTATTTTTGTCTTCTTTTGTCAAAAGAGTAGGGATATTCCCCGCGTTTAATTATAACAGGGGAGAAGAGTGATTGAGCTCATACGATGTGGAGGAAATTAGGTTCCTTTCTAGTAGGATTTCCTTGAAAGAATTTTTTGAGGAGTATCCTCATCCATTTCCATTTGAATGACTTCAGTAGAGTGGTCTGGTGGTTCCGGTGAAATTTTAGAGGTTGGGTCCTCTGTCGGGAGTAGAGATGTGGCAATTTGGGATGCTATTTTGGTTAGAGAATAGAGAAGGTGTGGTCTTTCTCTCTTAATATTCAGTTCTATACTATAATATATGTAGACAAATCAAATAATTATTTTTTAAAACCTTTTTTATATAAAAATATTCTTCAATATATGTTTCTTTTAAAAAGATAAAGTGATGGATTGGTTATGAGAGTATTTTTGTAAACAAACAAATCTTTTAGAAATTGTACAATGCTTTAATACATCAAACCAAACAATGAATAAAAAAATTATAACTAATATCAGCATAGCTAATACTGCATTACTAATACACCTTATTCAGCATTATTCTTATGCACCCTGCCAAACGACCCCTTAGAGTTTATTGGCTACTAGGTTCACTTTTTTTTTCAATAAGAAAATATTTAGTTGGTTATTTGTGCTGAAAAAAACAAGTTAATTATTTGACCAATTTATTAGTAGTGTTTAATAGGTTTCAAATAATAAATTTATAATAAAAACAACTTTTTTATAGATTAGGCGGATCTATTGACTAATTTATAGGGCACGTGAATCCATGGCCGATCCGTCAAATTACGTATTTTATGTACATATTTCTTAAAATTAATCTAATGTTAACTACTGGCCCCTATACTCCAAAAATATTTAGTGGTACACTTGGTTAATATTGAGTTATTTACCCAAAAAATACCGAGTTTCCTTTCTCGAAATTGCATGGGCGAAACATGTTCAAGTATCTCAAAATTCCATTACTCTTGTATGGTTGATACATATTTCATATTTGATGGAAATTCTCTTCCGATTTAAATTTTTGCTTGAGTTCTCTTCAAGAAAATTACTTCCTCGAACACAAACCATTGCAAACTATTGATGAAATTGCAGCAACAAAGATCGATCCAAGACTCGGGTCCTTAAATAGAAATGGCCATGGTTGATGCAAAAATCTCCTTTGTCGGAAAATTACACTATACAAAATTGATCAAAAGCAAATACTTTTGTATATAGGAATTTTTTATTTCCATTAACATTAAGGCAGATTCTAGTTAAGCGTAAAAGTGGTTCAAAATTTTGCTTTACGTCACAGAGTCAAATCCTAGGTGCGACACTTTTGACCTTTTTTGAATCCACATGTTAGAATTTCTGGCTCCATCACTGTCCTCCGTATTCCGAGTGTTGTTGGAAGTGAAGGGCTGAGAAAAGCATGGCCTCCCAAGATATGAAGCGCCAACTTGGCTTTTGAAGGAATTAATGAAGGAAGAAGAAGGAGGAGTTGATGGTAGTGTGGAGAAATTGAGAGAAGTGGAAGAATATCTTTGAGAAGAGAATGTATGAGTAGATGATGATGTTGTAGCAGGAACAGTAGTGAAATCAAGAGTGATTGTAGGGTGTGTTTGGGATGTGGAAATGGAAGTTTTTGGTAAGTAAAAAGTATTTGGTGCATGTGTGGCTAAGTTATTACAATTTGAAGTGGTGAAGTTGAACCCATTAAGATTATTATTATTAGCATCTGTTATCCCTTGTTGTGATGTTGAGGAGGAGGTGCAACTAAGCATAGAGGCAGCGGCAGAGGTGGTGGAAGCCATGGCAGTGGCTGAAAATGGAAGGGGGTGATTGTGTGTTCCTTCATAGGTGGTGATCAATATGGACATGTCTTCAAAACACCTTTGAACCTGTGTTGGATCACAAAATATGAAGAGAAGAGGGTCAGAAAACCTAGAGAAAGAATCATCATATTAAGAGTGAACACTATTATTGCATGGAGTCTAAATTTTATGTATTGCCGGTATAAAAATTATTTACAAATTATTTATATGGAAATTGATTAGCTGTAAACCTCAATGATAACTTGATAACAATGGTACTCCGAATAATATACTATAATAGGTTAAACTCTCTTTCTACATATATACTATATTTACGTACACGGATAGCGTAAAAACATTTACATGTATATAATATTGCTTAAGTCCTAATCAAGAAACAGTTGATGTAATTACCTGTTTTCTGACAGGGCAGGATGGGGAGACAGTGCAACGGTAGTATGCCCTAGGACATGGATTCCCTTTTGCTATTTTTTGTCCATATTTTCTCCATTGACATCCATCATTCATCTGCATTTAATTTGCAACTCCATTAATTTCACATCTAACATCTTATTGAGTACCAACTTCATGTGGATATGTTATTGCTAATTGTAATCTAGTGAGGCTTCTTTCCAAGCCTCCAAACCGAGCTCGGGCCCAGCCCACCGGCAGCCTTGAAAAAAGAATTCTTTCTCTCTCCCGGTCCGGTTCGCTGGAGTGAGAGGAGTCATAGGAATTCACTTTACCTTTTACGGCTTGGAACTCCCATTGTACGACCAATCCATCCTAACTAGAAAAATAAAAAATCTTGCATTCCCAAAAGGAACAAGAGCAAGGAAGTAGGTTTTTCTCCGCAAGAACAATCTTGACTTTCTTTATACTTTGGGCAAGAAGCAAGAGCGCAGCTGCTTGCGCGAAAACCGGTCTTACCTTGGGCGGGGCATCAAGTACATCTATCTTTACCGATTAACTAATTTTTAAACATTGGACTAGATCCATAACATATCATTTCATCCATCCCATTTTAAGTGATACTACCAGATTACTGGACAATGGAGTAACAATATGCCAATTATTTAACATTTATATTACAAGTGTAGTGGTGCAGAATGATCTTAAAATAGTTCTTGCAGAATTAGTTTGATATCGAAAATATCATATCAAAATATAGTACAAAAAATTTTGAACGTTTTAAATTAGTAGGAGTGTTAGATACAAAGTGAATACAATCTTTGTTTTCATTACATGATTAATGTGATTTTGGTTGAGTAATAAGTACTTTCTCTATTTAGCAGATAAAACCATCAATTCCTTTAACATATACTTATAGGACATCAAGATTTTCTCATAGAAATGCCACCACGTAGCCACTCCAAAGGATTGTTATTAAAAAATTAGTCAGTGCATCCTAAATTTCAGTTTTTCAGTTCATTTCTTGGGGACAAAAGTGTTCTAAACTGTCCTGAAGTTAAGATTTTTAGTTTAAAATTTCAGAACAAAATAAATATTGACAAATCTCTAAATAGCATCCCTGAAAATGGCTATATTTGCACTTGCCCCGATTTTCTTTATAGACAATTTCAATGAAGCATATTGAGTATTGAGTGATTACTTACCGTAGTAGTGTCACACACAGCTCTTATAGATACCCTAGCTTTCTTTTGAGGGTTCTGCTGCAGAAAATCTTCATCCTCATCTCCACAAATTCGTGGCATTTTTGAACTAGTGTAATTTTGTACACATGGTTCAGTGATATGCTCCTTCTTTGATTCCTCGAAGCTATTTTCTGGGCTATCATCATAATTTTTCGTGACTTCAGTAAAATCTAGACTAAATCTGCAGTCCAAACCCAGCTCAAGCCCATCAAATAATTTACTTTGCTTTTTAATATCTTTACACTCATTTTGATCATATTCTTTTTCATCTTGCTTGAACTCTCTTGAACTTCTCCCTAGGCTAAGTGAAACAAGGTCCACTTCTTCTTCTTGTTCAATACTTGTTGCAATAATATCCTTTGAATTTTGAGGTTTATGAGATATGCCTTGAAAATGCATTTGTAAAGATTGGTAATCCTTCATGATTTTAGATAGCATGGACTTTAGCTTTTCGTTTTCTTCTTTCGCTTCGCCAATCTGAGCTTTTGTTGAATTCAGCTGATCCTCCTGATAAAACATGTACACGACTTAGCACCAAATTAGCTACACTTGGATTCGAACTAAAATTTTATATATATATATATATTGCATTCAAGATTTTTGTCATCTATTCACAAACACAGTATCTATATATATATCAAGTGTATACCTGATTTTTCTTATAGGTTAAGGAAGAGTCTCTTGAATTGGTATTCATGGTGGTTGTTAGAGTTGCCTGCATGAACATGATATATTAATTTGGACCCAAAGAATGACTAATTAATACAGATGAAATGTGAAATACGATGTGCTTTGGGGGGGGGGGGGGGGGGGGGGATAAAAGGACAAACATGTCATTTCGGCTCAAAATATTACTCCACTCTTTAGTACTAGATCTACTATAAGTTATTGACCAAGTGTTATATATATATATAGTTGTTTTCTTCTGGAACTGGTGACCAGCCCAAGTTGAATAAAGTATCTCTCAAGAATAATACAAAGTCACCACCACGTGGTGTAATCTCAGTATTAAATAATATGAACTCTAACCGATGACTATTAAACAATTCACTAGTGTGCACATAGTTCCAGACAAATTGCTCATATTATTTATTTATTAGAAAAATTAAGAAAGAAAAGGAACTCTCCTTTAGCTCTTCTCTTTCTCGTCCCTTTTGTCTCTTTTTCATTATCCCTAAGCATTTCGATCCACATTTATATATGTAAATATAGAATATTCACCATGAATTTTTAAAAGAAAATTGCTTCCACTAGTTGCTGATATATTTATATATGTAAATATAGAGGTATATTCACATTATATATATAAATATAGATATATAGAGATATATTCACATTATGTATATAAATATAGATATATAGAGATATATTCACCTAGGATTTTTAATAGAAAATTACTTCCTTCCTATGAACATGACTTCTTAATTAAGATTTATTGATCGAAGATCTTCACGCATGAAATCTTAAAATAAAAACCATATATGTCGATAATTTACACAGCTCCCTTTGATTGTATCTTCAAAGAGAAATAATGAAATCCTGCAACTTATTCATATTAACAAATGATGGATAAAGAAGAAAAAGTAAAAATTATGGTGGCAGCAGCAGAAGAAGAAGTCTGCATATATAAAGACAACAACAACAACCCAGTAAAATTCCACCAGTGGAGTCTGGGAGGGTAGAGTGTACGCAGACCTTACCCCTACCCCTCCGGGTAGAGAGACTATTTCCAAAAGACCCTCGGCTCATAGACACTAGATCTGCATATATAAAGATGATCATATAACAAGAAGATGATGAAATTTATGGGGAAAAAAGCTCTTACAACTACTGTTTATGTTACATAAACCGTCAATATATATAATGAATTTTTACAAGATAGAGACTTATCTGTAGATATGTTTGAGTGACATGATAGTTTAAAAAATTCTTTACACCGATGATAGATATAACTTAAACTCTAACATGAATCTTATAATTCTTACCTTGATCTTAGTAGTAATAGAATCCACTGCGCTAGCTATGTTTCCTTAGCATGTCTCTTTGAGCTATACTCACTCTTAGCATCTGCAGACTTTCTTCTCTTTAGAGAACTCTTCTTATAGGACAGCCACCAAATCTTAACAATATTTTTTTCTTCTAAAACAGGTAGAGACGACAAAAATAAAAGTCTAAATTAGAGTTATTATATTGGCATGTTACACTCCCCCCTAAATAAAAATGTCAACTAGTCAACTAACCAAGTTTCTTCAACTTTGTATTTTTATCATTTTCTATTTCATCCATGCAACTAATTCAAATGGCAGATTGATATATTCTAATTTCAACGCTTTGGAGAGAGACAAGAGAGAAAATTATATTTGCAGCCATCCTGCTTGGTTTGAATACAATCATTCTTAATGGAAAGATTCGTACGCCAAATGAACGTCAATTCATTAATTTCCGTCAAAACTAATAGCCCCTCTTCTTGACTACATGGGGTGGTACGGTGGAAATCATTTTTCGCGAAAAAATGTATCATTTGTTTTTCGGCGCTTGATCATATATTTTTCAAAAGACATATTTATTAAAAGTAATTAATAATAATATTAGCAAAACAGATAATATTTTGATGGAAAGTTTTAGTATTAAAAATAGATAATAATAGTTGATTGATGCTTGGAGCAAATGATATGAATTTAAAAGTTAAGATAATTATAAGAAAAATGATTTCGGTTCATAAGTGAGGGAATGGTGTAATTTTTTCCCTGAAAAATGGTGTAATTTATTTTGCATTTATTTTTTAATTTCTTAACATACACATAGAAAGTATAACACCACCTACCACCCATAGCCTCAATCCGACATGCCCCTAACAACTAAAATAAATAGAAAAAAATAATGAAATGAGAGAATAAATTATGAATTAAACTTATTAAAATCTGAAAGCAAACTCTCTACTCTGTAATCTTAGTGATGATGTAACGCTGATCATAGTTATGTAGAGTATTTAAACTCTTTACGCTGTAATCCCTCTTTATGTGAGATTAACCTATATCTTATCGTAAGTGTTGAGAAGGCAAGCTCGACACTAGAATAACGATAGAGTGCATGTAAATTTCACAACCAACTACTCAAGAGCCCGTTTAGACATAAGAATTTTTTTCACTTTTTTCGAAAAATATTCACTTTTCTTCGAAATCAGTGTTTGGACAAAAAAAATCAATTTTCACTTGAAAATGAATTTTGAAAATTTTCGAAAATTTGAAAACTCCAAAAAACTATTTTTCAAAATTTTCACTCAGATCATTCACAAAATTTCAAAAGCAACCCAAAATTGTATTCATGTCCAAACACAACTCTAATTTTCAAATATCATTTTCACTTGAAATTTTTCTTTTACCTTTTTTTGGAATTTTATGATTCTTATGTCCAAACGCCGGGTTAATTTCACTGATGGTCACTCAACTACGTTTCAAGTTCACTAAGTCACTCAACTATTTTTTGTCACTTAAAAGTAACTAAACTTTCACAATGTCACTTAAAAATCATTTTGGCTCAACTTAAAAATCATTTTGGCTCAAACCCCTACCAAAAATATGACATGACATAAAATTTAATGAGAAAAATCAAAAAATAAATGCACATAAACTTAAATGGACTATACCCACTTTAGATCCATTTCTTCCTTAATGTGATTTGACCCATAACCCAAATGTTTTCAATAAAAAAAAATATTACATTTTACATTAGTTTAAAATGATTATCCTATACTACAAAATTCTTGTCTTTTCTGTTACATAATGTCTATTTATAATTATTCTATACTAAAAAAAATCTTATCTTGTTTGTAAGCTCCATCCGAGTCGTTTTATAAATCTACTGAAGTTAAAAAATGACTGTATCCAATTTACATAACATATTTATAATTTTCTAATGAAATTAAAATAGTATTGTATTCATCTTACGTAACATATTAATGTATTATAAGCATACAAGAATAATAAGGCTAATAAGAGTCTATTTTCACGATGGACATGCAATTACAGACAACCTATTGCAATTGTTTACACAAAAGAAACATTATATTTTAATATAAAAATCCCACAAAAAAACACAAGACCTAATTTTATTAGGGGTATGTGTTTTTCCCCCCAGCTATTGAAACCCATTTGGGTTATGGGTCAAATTAAATTAAGAGAGAAATGGATCTAAAGTGGGTATGGTCTATTTAAGCTTATGTGATATTTATTTTTGATTTTTTCTCATTAAATTTTATGTCATGTCATATTTATGGTAGGGTTTTGAGCCAAAATAATTTTTAAGTGATAATGTGAAAGTTTAGTTACTTTTAAGTGATAAAAAATAATTGAGTGACTTTAGTGAAATTGAAACATAATTACATAAGTGAAATTAACCCTCCAAACGCCCACTTAGACTTGTTAGTCATTACTTTACTTATGAGGAGGACAAACCAGTGGCGTTTTCATAAGTTGTTTAAGTGTGAAACCTCTATCGTATGCTTTGAATAGATCATTTGTTTTTTTCGTCAATTTATTTTTCCAAAGGGAAATTTGGAAATCTGCGACAATTGAAAGGGTCTGTCAACCCTTTTCTTCTAGACTGTAGAATCTTTTTCTTAGTACTATTCCAAAAAAGATAAAGTACGTGGGAAAGTTATAGGCTTGGAATTTGCTGGAAGTACGTGAAAATTCAAGAAAAAAGACTATAATATGTGTCTAATCCAAGAGTCGCAATTCTGCTTGCCATCGTAGGACTAAATAATCTTTTTTTGTCGTAAATTGGAAAAAAATAAATTGGTAAAGAAAATTGATTTGAAGCATTAGATACTTGTAAAAAGATGAGATTGAGTTGTCACGTAATTAATGGTCGAACCCATAGGAATATTTGCACAAATTCAAATTTTATCAAGGATCTTTTGCATACTTATGGCCTACCCCTCCCTAGAAAAAAAAGTTTAGAGTCTGTTTGGAAAGCCACCATATAATTGGAATTGATGTAATTACTAGGGTAGTAATTACACAATCTAGTAATTACATAGTTGTATAATTACGACGATCTGTTTGTTTGTCATAGTGTAATTACATGTTTACTGTTTGACTGCACAAATATAATTACATAATTAAATTAAATTTTAAATTAAGTAATTATCAAAACTTAAAGTTAATATAATAAATATATACCTATAAATTTTTATAAGTATAAATGATATTATATTTGGTATTTAAGATGTATATTTTTTCATGAATATACATTAATTTAGTAATCATATATTTATAACTAATATTGTAAAAATAATTTATATTTTTTTTTAAATTAATAATATTTAGTTTAGATACTTACAAAAATTTAAGATATACGTTTTATAAGAATATCATGGAATTCATGTTTGATAAAATAAATTAACTTATAAATATAATGTCATAACATTAGTCAAATATTTTACAAAACTAATCTATTAATTCTAACTAAAAAATGAACAACATGCAATGTGAGCCAATACTACTAAAACAAGTAAATTAGAACCATGAATATAATACAATTTCAAAATTCAAAAAAAAATAGTTTAACATATGTCTAATTCCGACATAATATAGTAAGTTCCACTGCAACTTAAGATTAGAAAACATGACAAGTTTATAACCATATTCAACAATGAAATTTCACTTTAATTGCATCACTCATTATATGCCAAGTCTGTTAATGACTCATTAATATTTTTAATATTAGGAGGTGTAGTTTCAAAAAATAAAAAATAAAATATAAGCAATTACATGGAATCACAAGATGTAAAGATAGAGAAACAAAAGATAAATAATGTACAAATACAAATATATTTTAAAATTTCAAAAGAAATTAAAAAGTAAAAATAAAATTAAAAATAAAATAATAGAAATAAAAAGTTATAAAAAATAAATTAAAATAAAACAAAAAGGAAAGAAACTAAAAAATAATCTTGTAATTGCACACTGTAATTACCACCAATTCTCACCTCCCCCTTGAGAATTGGAGAGTGTAATTATACCCCTCCAATTACACCCAATTTCATGTTGACCAAGTAATTATTTGGCCAAACAAACATGTCAAACTATGTAATTACACTCAATTACACCCAAATCTATTTCCAAGGTGGCTTTCCAAACATGCTCTTAGAATAGACATTTTGTCCAACTAGTACTAGAAAATAAATAAGACCACAATAGATACAAAAATATGTAAGATTCTATAGACAATAAATTGCGTCGAGAAAATAAAATCAAGGCCGAAATATCGCAACAATCGTAATATTTTATTTCGAATATTAGAGTGTTACGATCTCTATGATTCCTCTGATTCTACTTTTCAATAGTAAATAAATTCAAGGGCCTTTGAGCTTGATCTTGAATCTATAGTTGTTTCCACGAACGATGATCTTGTTCTTGAACTTGACCTTGATTCGTTCTTCGTTCTTGAGCTTGAACTTGAACTTGAACTTGATTTTTTGAACTTGATTACTTGAAGCTTGAAACTTGTAGAGAAATTTGCGGCGTTTGATCCACGAGCTCTCTCTTGCTTCTTGTTATAACTTCTGGTGTCTTTTCTGAGTTTGAAGACCCCTATTTATAGTTGTGGAAAGGAAGAGTTATGATAAGAACAAACTCTTTCCGACCAATCAAATTGAAGTGTGACATGGCCGCATTTGATTGGCCAGAACATGTCACTTGCACACGTGGCGCGATTTCATTGGCCTTTTAGTGTGACTTGGCATGCCTTGTCATTTTGGCATGTGGCATGATCCTATTGGCTCTTCCGGCGTGCCACGTCATTTGACACGTGACACCAAACTTGGCCTCTAGGAAGATGTCATCTTGGGCTTAATGAAGTGAGTTCATCACTTTAGCCCAATTAAATGGGTTAGCCCAATGGTTTAAGACTTATTTATTTAATCCATATATATTGGACTTATATAATTAATTCAATTATATTAGCCCA